CAAGAATGAGGTAGGAGGGCTTGTTCTTCATCAGTGTTCACTCCAGCTCGTCACGAGGACTAACCGGAGAGAGAAGAACAAGACACCTCCCGGGAGTCAGGTCCGTGGGGTCGCCACTGCCCAACAGCTCGCCACAAGCTGCCTTGCGGATTTATTATTATTATTCTTTTTCTTACATTTTCATGGCTCGGCCCCAAGGCCGGATTTGAGGGTTAACACGGGCCGAAGCCAAGTGCTAACCCACCTGAATGTCTCAAGTTGAGATGTACGGAATCATCTCTGTTTCATTTAAAAATTTTCTTACAATATGACAGGTATTTAAAATGGCAGCTTTCTGAAGATTTTGGTAAATGTAGGATGGTAGTTGGAGTGTTTTTATGGACTGATGGAGTTGTTTGGGGATTACACCTGTTGTTGACAGGACTATAGGGACTATCGTGACGTTATTTAGTCGCCACATTCTGGTAATTTCGTTTTTGAGGTCTGTGTACTTAGAGAGCTTTTCTACTATTGTGTTTTGGAGGTTGTGTGTGTTCGGTATGGCTATGTCTATAATTTTTGCAGTTTTATTTATTTTATCAATGAGAGTGATATCTGGTCTATTGTAATGAGTGGTTTTGTCAGTAAGAATGGCTCGGTCAAAATATAATTTATGTGATAAGTTTTCAAGTACAATTTCGGGTTGATATTTATAGTATGGTACTGCCGGCGTGGAAATTAGGTTGTATTTTAATGCTAATTTTTGGTGAATAATATTAGCAATTTGGTCATGTCTGTGTTTATAGTCGGTTTGTACTATTGATTTGCAGGCCCCTGTGATATGCTGAATAGTTTCTGATGCACTATTGCATCGTCTGCAGATATCGGTAGGTATTGGGATATGCATTATGTGTTTCTGGTAATTACGGGTTTCTATTACTTGGTCTTGGATTGCAATCATGAACCCTTCAGTCTCAGGAAACAATTCGCCACGCCTGAGCCATTCGTTCGATGCAACTTTATCGACGTTTGGTTGGCTAAGGTCGTGGTAGTGTCTCCCGTGTAGTGACTTCTGGATCCATTCAGAGATTTTGGTTTGTCGGTCTCTCTGTTTTTCATTGTTCTGTGTTGTCTGATCTGCCATGTTTAAAGGTGTGAGTTTTTTATCGCATTGAACTATTGCATTATGTAGAGTTGATGTAGCGCTTCTGCTGAAAAAATAAGTTCTTAATGTTGTAACCTGTTTGTTATGGAGATTGGTGATATCTATTATACCTCTTCCGCCGTCATTTCTTGGTAGAGTAAGCCTCTGAAGGCACGATCGCGGATGATGTTTCCTATATTTCGTCAGTGTAGTGTTAATGCTGCGCTGCAAATTCTGGAGGTCGGTCTTGGACCAGCTTATAATGCCAAACGAATATGTGAGGATTGGTATAGCATATGTATTTATAGCTTTTATTGTATTTCGTGAATTTAGCTGAGTGTTGCATATAATTTTTAATCTATGTTTGAATTGCTTGCTTAATTGAGATTTCACTTGTTTGTGTAAGATTTGTTTTGCCTGTATGTAACCTAAATACTTGTATGTGTCACCTTCGTCCAAAGAATCTATTTTGTCACCTGTTTGTAGTTGGTATGAGTGTTGACAAGATTTTCCGGCTTTTACTGAGTTAATTTTACATTTATCGATCCCGAACTCCATCATTATATCATTTGAAAACGTTTGTGTAGTGTCTGCTAGTCGATGTAAACCTTCCGGGGTAGATGCGTAAAGTTTTATATCATCCATATAAAGTAAATGATTTATTTTACATATTTCTTGACCTGTCTGTATAGTAGCCCTTCTTTCGCCATATCTAAGTTGTAAACCTGGTTCTAATGAATTTAATTTATTTGAGAGTGGGTTTAAAGCTAAACAGAACCATAAAGGGCTGAGCGAATCTCCTTGGAAAATACCTCGCTGGATCTTTATGGATTCTGTTGTTAGTGTTCCCATTGGTGTATTTAGGTGGAGTCGGGTTTGCCACGTCTTAACAATACTTTCTAAAAAGTGTTTGAGGTGTGGATGTATTTTGTAGATTTTCAAAATGTGAATTAACCAAGAGTGAGGTACTGAGTCATATGCTTTTTTATAATCAATGTACATTGTATACAGATCTTTCTTATGTCGCTGTACATCTTGAAGAATAACGGAATCTATTACCAATTGCTCTTTGCACCCTTGACTAAATTTCCTGCACCCTTTCTGTTCTTCTGTTAAGATTTTTTGCTTATCTATGTGTTTATATAATAAACTGGTAACGCATGAAGTCATTATTTTATAAATTGTTTGCAAGCAGGTTATCGGTCTGTATTTCGCGGGGTTAACTGTGTCATTTAGGTCTTTTGGTAGCATATAGGTGATGCCTTCGGTTACGTATGAGGGAATATTAGTTGGGTTTTTAATAAAGTCATTAATGTGGTTATACAGGTGTGGATGAGTTGTTGTGAATTTCTTGTACCAGTAGTTGTGAATACGATCAGAACCTGGTGCTTTCCAGTTGTGTGCCTTGTTGAGAGCATTATGAAATGTTTCGACATCTACTTGTTCAAATTGCATTTCCTGAATATTGTTGTGACTAGATATCTCATTTTTTATCCATTCTGCTTCTTCGTTATGACAAACTGGGTTTTGCCATATTCCTGCCCAAAATTGTCGCATACTTCCTTCTGTAGGAAATGACGTGTGTGTTGTACTGTTTGATATGGTGTTGTTAGTTGTTAAGTTTTTTAATTTGCGGTAAAATTGTTTTTCGTTATTTTTAAATTGATTATTTTGTGTTTTTCGTAGTGTGCATTTAGTGTACCTACAAAGCCGACTTTTAATGACTGCTAATTTCTGTTTAAGTGTATCTAAATAATGAGTAAGTTGTATATTAGGTGGTTCATGTATAGTATGAGTTCTGTAATCTGTGAGTATCCTTCGTACTTCTTTTTCCAATTTTCTACTTCTGTAACCTTGTATATAGTTTGTCAGTCTTCCTACTTTAGCTCTAATTGTATCTAGTTTATATTCTAATCTTTTCTGCCATTTAGGTTTGTAATCTCTCTGTGAGTAGCTTTGATCTTGCGCGTGTGACAAAGTGACACGACTACCGTTGGCTTTGGCGGCTGTCCACGCAGCAACGTATATAAAAGTTTGTAGCTGATTAAAATCTGTATCGGCACTAACATGCTCTTGTAATATCACTTTGTTAATGTACTCAACTATTTTAGCTAACTTTTTTGAAGTTTTTTGTTTCGGTATATAACATCTATTGGTCGGATGAGTCTCATTAAAGAATTGCAAAGCTTGTAAAAACTGTTCATCTATTTCGGGATACCGTTCGTGTGTTTCTGTGTGAGTATTATTAAGTGTAAGTTGTTGATCAATATCATTAATATGATCACATTCTTCTACAGTATTTATTTGCTCTGATCCTAGTGTTGTTGGCTGGTTATTTGTATTTTGTATGTGTATTTGAGATTCTAAATACGCATTGGTAGTATGGTGTAAATTTAAATTATTGGGTCGTTCGGAAATTGCTATGCCTAATTCATTTAATTTTTGTTCTACGGCTAATTTTAGCAACTGTAGTCGTGTTTCTGATATCATTTTATTGTTCATTATCACTCTTTTTTGGTCCGATATGCGTTGTTCTGAGAGATGCGATAAGTGAGGGTAGTATTCTACAAACTTTTCTTTCAAGCTTTTCCGCCAAATTGTCATATCTGTCTCCATTTTTGTAACTTCAAAATAACATTTTATAAGTGTTTCGTTAAGTTCGTTTGACCATTTCATTCTAGTTTTTGTATGTGAATTTGTGTGATTTAATAGGTCAGCTTGTGTTTCTGTCTGGTGTTGTTGTGATTGATGTCTTGTACCATTTTGTGTTTGTAGGTGATTTCTTACTTCTAGTCTAATTGCATCAAGTGTTGTTCTTGGTAATAAATTATTGTTGACAATGGCTCTTCTTTGATCGCCTATCCTTTGTTTGGATACTACCATATCTGGAAATTGTTGAGTGAATTTTGTGTGTAATGTACTAAGATAAGCATTTGTGTCTGTTTCTAAGTTTGTGATTATGAGATATGTACGCCAAATGAATTCATTCATTTCTTTAGTCCATTTTTTTCGCGTAATTTTGGAGCCAGTAGCGGGTGGCGGATTTTTAGCTGGACTAGCTTCCGACACAACGTCTACCGACCTTGCTGATGAGGTTGATGATCGTAATGAACGTGATGTGATTGAGAGTGATGATGGCGTGATCGATGAAAATAAGGATCTCGGAGAGGATGACAATGACACCGTTGATGATTCATCATCAGCTGGAGGCACCTTTGCCTGCATTGTATTTTTTAGTTTAGATCTTGTTATCATTTTTATTCCCACGAGTAGCTAGGGACTAAACAGGTCGACCACAGCAGAGCCCTGCATTCACTGTGGCAAGGGTAAATAAAACTGGAGGTCCCCTGGTCTCCAGAGTTGGCATACTCATGACTAAGCACCCCCTTAGCCATGCAGCCCTTGGCGTATGCTACCTTGGCTTGGGTTGTATCTCATTTAGTCAGGCTCTTCGCCCCACCCCTATCTCGATCTAAGCGAATTAAACCGATATAAGACTAAGGGTCAGAGCCCTTAAGCCCCACCACGACGACAACGTAGAGATACATCGGTGGGGTTATTATTATTATTATTATTATTTTATACCATGTAGTGATGATGAAAAGCGAATAAGTTGCTAACTGACTAATGCCCGGTTTCCGGAAGCCCTATCAATGTTAAAATCAACTAACTAGGTGTCAAATCTCTTGTCAAGTCATCTGATTGGTTGTTGATAATTCAGTCAACCAATCAGATGACTTGACAAGAGATTCAATTGATTTTAGCATTGATCGGCCTTTCGGAAACCGGGTGTTACTAATACATATATTGACTTATTTATGTAGTAAAAAAGCGTAAAGAATGTAAGAACTCTCAATAATTCCACTCTTTTCCACAGAATCCCAACCACTGCTCCAGTTTGGGTGGCTCAAGCAAAATATGAAATGGCATACCAACCTCCTTTCCTTCTAAGGTTGAAGTTCAAAAACCTGGTTGGTGTCACAGTCCTGGATGATGGAGGGCATTTCTTGGCCTTCGAACTGCCCAAGGTCTTCTCGGAAGACGTTTTGAAGGCGCTAGGAGAGTTCAGAAAGGTGGCCAAGAAGAATGTGAAGACTGATTTGTAATTTTAGTTTGGAAATTGTATATTTTGTACAGATATTTTTGTTTTATAAAGAGTTGCTTTTAAAACTGTTGTTTTATGCATTTCGTTGGCTACGCAACGTCGCCGCGACGCGCACGCTGCTCATGAATAAGAGTCCTGTTGTGTCTTAAAACTAGTTAAGATTTTTCCAATTAATAAACGTGAGTAAATCGTTATCTATATATAATCTATAGTAGTAGTAGTAGTAGTAGTAGTAGTAGAAACTATTATAGTACCTAGAGCTTTTTTCAATATATACACGTGAGTAACCCGCGATTTTTAGTTAATTTAGTATGTGTCACGATAGTTATTATAATAATCTATAGTAATTTTATAGAGGTAAAATTTGTAAGTTTGTATGTAGTGGGTAATCTTTGGAACCGCTGGTCCGATTGCCAAAATTCTTTCACTGACAGATAGCTACAATGTTTCTGAGTGCTATAGGCTATAAAACATCACGCTACGACCAAATGGAGCCGAGCAGCGGGTGACCACGAAAGAGTAGCTAGTCAGTACTAATTTTATAAAGAGTTTGTAAGCTTGTATGTAGGGGGTAATCTTTGGAACCGCTGGTCGGATTTCCAAAAATTCTTTCACTGTAGATAGATAGGTACAATGTTCCTGAATGTGTGTGACTATACATTATTATACTTAATCGGCGTATTTTAGTCAAGGTATCGGTTTAAACGCTGCTGTTTTTAAAATCCCGGGATACATTATTTTTAAACGCGGGTGAAGCTATTTTTAACGATAGTTACTATTCCTTAAAATGTTATCTGAGAACTCCAATCACTTTTCTTTTCAAAGACCGGCAACGATCTGTAACTCCTCTAATGTTGCGGGTGACTATGGCCGGCGCTGATCATATCATCTGAAAAACTAGATGAAGCCTGAGTTGTGGGGAAAGGGAATAATACACCAAGTCTAGTTAGTTGTGAATTAGTAATTTCAGAATGTCTTAATAATAGGTTACTTGATTTTTTCAAAATTAAATTGTTTTTAGTTTTTCATGTAGGCAAAAATATTACAAAAAAGGTAATCACAATTAATGATTTTTTTACCATCTAATTTTGAACTAATAGGTAGGTACGTAAGCATGCTATTTGGCCCAAAAAACGTAACCCCACAATAAAATCGTCAAAATTTATAATTTATCTTTTATCTTAATTGTAAAGAAATATTGATCTTCATTTGTTGACAAGCATCTTATATTTTGTATTTTAACAATTTCTTCCAACAAAAAAACTCATTATGAACATAAAAAAACAATCACATAAAATATACCTAAGTAATTGTATTTGAATCCAAAGAAAAGTATCCAAGTCAAACCCTTAATAACAGAAATCATTGACTTTCACCACTTACCCTTACAAATCTCATAAAATCCCATTTAAGCTGGGTTAACAAATAAAATCAATCACATTTTATCTCAAGCGCGGCGGCCGGCGGGAGTACGGAGCGTCGTTCGGTCACGTGCCCGACCGCTCACACATACGCAATACGGATTAAAAAATATCATAGCAAAGCTGCTTATTTGTCATAATTTGCTATTTTATTCGAGCAGGCGTTCGTTTTATTGATATTTTGTGGCTTAGGGCCTGCGTGCGGTGTGATAAGATGTGATATTTATTTATTGGGATACTTTTTGCTTGAGGGATAGTTTTGATGGTAGATTGATTGTATATTGCGTATGGTGTTTACTTTGATTGATATACATCACGCGACTCTCTAAGTAATCCATGCAATAAAATATTAAGATTTTCATTTGTTTTTTCTGTAGTATTTAATCACAAAATACTTAAAAAGGTCCCAATCGTTTAAGAATATTCTATTACTTAATATAATAAACGCAAAAGTTTGAAATGAAACATGGGTTGGCTGTTGTTATTCTTTCCCGTAAAAAAATAAGGAGTTTGATGAAAATGTGTACGGAAATAGATTATAGTCTGGAATAATATATAAACCGACTTTTTATTAAGACTTCTTGGTTCGAATAAAAAGCAGTCTTGTAAAACGGAATTCTTTCAATGAATTAATTATAAAACAAAAATTACATTATATTTATCGAAAACTAACAGAAACATTGAAAAAAACAGCTTCGAAAGAGAAGATATACCAAAGCAAACATATGCAAAGTAAAAAAAAACAACGACTCTAAATCCAACAATATTTTTGATCGTGAGTACGCATTGTACGAACTGAGTATACGCAATTATGTGAGCGTCATGTTCGAGACGACAAAGAATTAAAAATGATAGATCCCATAATTTTTTACAACTTGTCTCTGCGTTGTTCTCACATAAGGGTACAATAATGTATGTATACTAAATGTTATATTAGTGAAATTGTAAAAGATATATATATTTTTAAAAGAGAAACGATGGAGTTTCTTGCTCGTTCTTCTACATTCGAAACTACAATTTGGAATGAGCACCCAGCTTCACTGACGAACAGACTGACAGACTACTTTTCCATTTTGACATTTCAAAATTACCTATTTGTGGTTTAGTTGGAATAAGTAAATGATTTTGACTTTGATTTTTTTGAGGCCCTGCCACATTTTCACTCACTCATTCCCTTTTCAACATACACACAACAACAATAAAGGCACTCTACACACTTACAATATGTATACAGCAAATTGAAACATGTTTGCTTCAGCTTCTGGTCGAGTGAGATAAGGGTAACTAATACAGGGTGTATTACAGAAATGATATACTCATTTATATGTGTGTAGTTAGTAGTTGCTGAAATTCTAAGAACAATTGAATATCTACTTTGATTATTTTTTTTTTTTGTAGGTCGGCAAACGAGCAGAATTATTACCTGGTGGTAAGCAAACAGCGCCATCCATGGCCGTTCGCAATACTTAAGGACTTACAAGAGTGCGTTGCCGAAATTTAGGGGATAATAGATTTGGAGATTTTGGGCAGGGGAGCGAAAGGATTGGGCCTCCGATAACTTCATTCACACGGCCAAACGCCGGTTTTCTGTGAGGCCGTGGTATCACTCCGGTCCAGCTGAACTCTTAGTGAGGAAACATGCACATCACTCCTTTAAATACAAAAAGAGTTTTAAAATTCCAATTATTTAAGCAGTAGGTATACACATGGCAAAAAATTCGGGCGAAATAAGAACCTTCTTCTTTGAAGTTGGTTAAAGAGTAATTTTAATCTTCAGTGGCGTGTTGTAAGTTCATAAATTTTATTTTTGCAGGTAGGTACTTACAACTATATGCCCATAGCATCGCTTCCGTTTTCCCTTAACTGCCTTACTCACTTGGCTTTTTCTACCCTTATTATTGTCATAACAACTTATACATATTTGTCAGAAACCATGCAACAGCGCTCTCTTAAACGGAGCAAGAAAATCCTTTAAAATATGACTTTTGAAACACTCTGTACAATGTAAACTCGGGGATGAAAATGGTAGCCCTATGGAACAGAATGGGCGGAGCGACACGCCTGCCCCTAAAAGAATGAGACGGCAAGATGCTTATCTACGAGAGGGAAAGAGAAAAGAAACACATTGGTGAACATTTTGAAGGTACTTATTATTTAATATTTAAGATTTAACACAATGTTTGGGAGTTTACGTTAAAATACAGTTTTTTACTAGAATTTATATGCTACATATAGCTTAGTAACTTACAATCCCCTTCACCAGCTTCGGGCTGCTGTATATACAGAGAAGACATTAATTAACTAAAAATCGCGGGTTACTCACGTGTGTAAATTGAGAAAAGCTATACTAGTTTCGAACCACAGAGGCCTAGAGCCTACAGTAGGCTGCGCGACGTCGCCGCGTCCGCGCCCGCTGCTCATGAGGAAGAACCCCTCTGTGGTTCGAAACTAGTAGAGCTTTTCTCAATTTACACACGTGAGTAACCCGCGTTTTTTAGTTAATTTAGTATGCCTCACGATAGTTATTATAAAAACAAGACATTCATTGATGATTTTCCCCTCACAAATAAAACTCCGCAACCACGGCTGGACATCGGCCCTAATGGACACCTAATCTACCAATTTGTTTTTAGGTAGGTATACCATTTTAGATTTACACCTACCTAAACATCTACTTAAACATATTGTTGACACAATGATTATTCGCCAAATTATATACAACATAAGTACAAGAAGACGTAAATATTAGAATAAAACATTTATTTTACATTTTATAACAAAAAATGGAAACACGGTTACACACACAGCAATATTCCTAAAAACCAGTATATCATGGCCATCCTATATGTAATCTTTAAGCACAATGAATCGACAGATTATAATGGTTTTATCATAGCTTTATGTGTGTAAAATAAAGCTAAAATTAACGTTAATTAGGTATTTATGGCACAAATAGCGGTGGGACTAATTTATTGGAGATACATAGTTACAAATTTATACCTATCCTATATCTATTATTAGGTAAGCTTACGCCTTTGTCTGTTCACAATACGGTAGTTTCCAACTAGTCAAATTCAATACTTTTAACCAAATGTCAAAAACAATACTTTTTTATGAAATTTGTATGAAACGCTGAATTATGACGTCATAGTATTTTAGCGTCAAATTGCTTCCTTATTTCTTAAAAATTAGTTAATAAATAAGTATCTAAAATGTAATGTATCGTTCGATCGATGAATTAGAGTGGAGTTATTTTTCAATACTTTATTGTATTGAAACGTCGAATTAATTTATTTTTGACCTAGGAAACTACCGAAATAAAAGAAATATTCCAGAGTAGGTCTTTATCCTTCCTACTAACTAGCACAGGCTTGGCACGGGTGCAATCTGTCTATAAAAAAAATCCCGCATCAAAATCCGTTGCGTAGTTTTGAAGATTTAAACATACATAGGGATATAGGGACAGAAGAAACAATTGTTTTACACTACATATGTAGTTATCTATACTAAATTATAGAGGTAAAATTTTATGTTAGCTTCAATGTTCCTGAGTGCTATAGGCTATAAAACATCACGCTACGATCAAATGGAGCGAAGCAGCGGGTGAAACCGCGAGAGAGTAGCTAGTACGTTACAAAGAGTTATTTGTAAATTTGTGTGTAATATTATAAATTCGAAAGTGTGTCTATATGTTTTTACTTCACGCCTAAACTACTGAACCGATTTTTGTAAAATTTGGTACAGGCATAGTTTGGAACTCGAGAAAGGACATAGAATAGTTTTCATACCAAAAATCTGCAGGAAGTCACTATTCTACGCGAACTAAGTCGCGGGCAAAAGCTAGTTTTCAATAAAGTTTGTATCTCTTACGATAGTTACTGTTATTAAAAAAGTCGCTAGAAATAGTCTCCTTAAACATCACGCAAATGTTTAGCGATAACTTTGACGAGTATCTGTGTGTAGGTTACGTTATGATAAAGAACAAATAGGACGGCTTAAATGATGTAAAATTAATTACAGTCAGATCTATAAAAAAAACCTTCTTCTAGGCAAATCTTGATTAGTATGGTATCTACGTTTGAATATTTTAGCTACTACACCCTCGTAGCATTAACAATTTCCATGTAAAATTCGCTTTGGTCATTTAAATTGTGGATTTTCTTTGTTGTCATTCTTATTTAGTTTTGATATGACAAGTAATAAAAATCAGATCTACAAAAACCTTCTTCTAGGCAAATTTTGATTAGTATGATATCTACGTTTGAATATTTTAGCTACTACACCCAATGATGTATAAATCTATAGATACGTTGTCCGCGCTCTAAAATGGCAACATGAAATGAAGGCAATTTGACAACATCGCGCTTAGTCACGCACCAACCTCCCGCGCGACGCTACGTTTGTTATAATTTATATCGTGTGTGTAAACCTGTGCGAAACTAAAGAAAGCATGCCGTCGTGTGTGTTCAGAGGATGTACAAATTATACTCTAAAAGTTAAATACAAAAATGTGTCATTTCATGCGTAAGTTCACCAAACAACCTATTTTTATTTTATTTTTTTCGACGCCGGTGCCCGCCATCTTGTGGCGGCCGGCGCATGAAGGTATAGTCACGTGACGTCGGCATAACTGAAGATGTATATTTATCTCCCTCTAGCAAAGGCATTCCACTATACGATGTCATATTTGCTTTCCCTTTCTTTAGTCGTAGAAGTAGTTATCTTGTATTTTCGCCGTTTTTAAGCGCCGCGATGTTGGTTCATGACGTGTCTATATATAATACGTCATTGACTACACCCACGTATCATTAACAGTTTCCATGAAACTCAACTAACTTCACTTATTATCCTTATCACTTTTCTCCTTACTTCCGTGGCCATTTTGCATTTTACCATCATGTTCGTCCTTTCCATTCTGAGCTGGTGCTATCATCAACAGATTATTACCATTTCGATCCGCCAAATTCCTGAACGGCATATTTTGACGCCATCTTGGGGGAAAGTAGAACTGATTCCTCAAAACTCTTAAATGTTCTTTTCCGAAGTAAAATTCTGTTCTATTGACGACTGGTCTTTGATATCCTCTCTTTATTTCTTCGTTCTCTTCGTTTCCATATCTCTGGTATTCGTTGGTTTCATGAAAGATTTTCGCTCTTGGACAATCTTCTTCGCTAAAATACGGTCTTTTGAGCCTTAGTCTTCTAGATTGGGGACTCAAAGGGGATTCGCATTTGATGGCGAGACTAGCCGAGTTTTCCTTGTTCATTGATAGCCCGTGTGACTTTTGCCATTCTAGAACTTCGCAAAGAAGGCCGATATACCTGTTAAACGAAATAACAATGTCTTAGTAAAGCTCAAGACTTCTGAATGGGTACTTACAGACTGATCATTTAATGTGATAAAACAAATACTCCGAACTAAAAAAATCTTAATTATTTGTTTCTTACTAATCAGAGCACTGTTACCTGATAGCCATCCTCAATATCTCGTTCTTGGACAGCTTCTTATCCGGTGGGTGTGTGGGGACCAATCTCCTCAACTCTGCGAAGGCGCCACTCACATTCTGCTGCCTCCACCGCTCACGGCAATTGGTGAACAGCTTCCGAGGGGGACGCAGAAGACAGGAGTTAATTGACGGCATGTCTTCTGGCAGACTCTGTATTGAAAAATACAAACTAATGAATATGAATCCTTTTGCAGAAAAGGGCTAGGTAGTTGTTCTTTGAGTAATTGTAACTATTTTCAATCGATCTCAATCTCATATTTGATTTGAATCTAAGACAAAATATTGCATGCTCTTGAAACTTTTCAAATGTAATTGATGATCCTTTCCCCCATCACGAATATCCAAATCTCTTATAATGAAACTCCTTGAAATGAATCTTGGAACTCCTTTGGTGTTGTGGAAGTCTAGAGACGAGCGTCGATTGCTTACCATCTGGTGTTGAGCCTTCTCGGTTGTCACCCCAATCTATTAGAAAATTTGTTTGGGAAGGCTATGCTTCGGCACGAATGGGTCGGCTCGACCCAAGTGATATTACGGCCTCACAGAAACCGTTGAAAAGCGTCGTTTTTCACCATGTGAATGAGGTTACCGGAGCCCCAATCCTTTCCCCACTACACCTGCCCCAATCCCTAAATCCTCAAAAGGTCGACAATGCAGTCGTAACTCTTCCAGTGTTATAGCTGTCCATGAGCGGCGCTGATTGCTTACCATTAGGTAATCCGTCACCTCGTTTACCGTCCTATCATATAATAATAATAAAAAATACGAATGACACATTTCAAGCACGAAGTTTATCTTCATATTAAGACCTTTTACCTCTTGTTTGGACAAAACGAATCTTGGAGAAATCCTTTACTAAAATTACTTACTTGAATGTTTCTGGTGGACTGTCTATCGTCATCGCTGTCGGGTAGACATAAGTCGTCGCTCAGCATCTCGCTGTCAGGCTCCTCATCAGAACAGGACTCCTGGTCGGACGCCATTGCTGGTGGATACACTGCACCAATAAATTATGAATTATTAACCTGTCTCCCAGTATACAACAAACAATAGAAAACATATTATGTCTCGCGTGGATCCGCGCTCAATGGCATGCCACGGATTAATAGAAATATTTTTTTGGATTTGTTTGTTTTTATTATACTCGTACGAACTATGTAACAAAATTAAAAATTTTAATAAATCACTAATGCTTGTAGTGACATCATGAAACTAGGCAATTTTGTATCTTAAATGACACTTTAGGTAGCATGGGATAAACCCGCCTCGACCTGCTAAAGCCGCAGCAACTCCTGTAAGCCAGAATCTCCAGTATGTATACAGCCATGAAAACACCGAAACACCGAAATCCAGTTCGTCCAGAGACATGAATGACTGTCTTGGATCCCTTAATAAAATGAATCAGAAGATTAACTGAAAATCGCGGATTTCTCAAGTCGATATACTGATAAAAGCTCTACTCGTTTCGAACCACAGAAGGATTGGGGCAGCCCACTCATAGGCAAAGGTTGCTCGATAATCGCCGCGTCCGCGCACGCTGCTCATGAGGAAGAACCCCTCTGTGGTTCGAAACTGGTAGAGATTTCTCAGTATATTCACGTTAGTAACCCGCGAATTTAGTTAAATCAGAAGATATTATTTGAGGATAAGATAAAACTTTAGGTAGCAGATACTATCGAGCTGATTTGATGATGGAATTGGAAAGTGGTTCCAGGCCGGGGACCCGTATTCCCGACTGATAAACTTATACCTTGGTATATAACCTCTTCGAGGTTTTTTTTAAGAGAAGATAATCGCCAAATCTCTCCTCCTCGCTCAGGGTGAGACGAGAGTGAGTGTCAGATTATAACTGACTATAAACCACCCTTTTTTATGGAATAGGAGGCAAACGAGTAGACGGATCACCTGATGGTATGTGATCAGCGCCGCCCATGGACACCCGCATCGCCGGAAGGAGTAACGAGTGCGTTGCCGACTTTTTAGGGATAAAGGTTTTGGACATTTCAGGATTATTGGGCCTCCGGTAACCGCACTTACACGGCGAAACACAACGCTGTGGTTGTGTCACGCCAGTTTTCTGTGAGGCCGTGGTATCACTCCGTTCAAGCCAACCCATTCGTTGCCGAAGCATGGCTCTCCCACACTTACTGTTAGTGATCAGTGCCGCCATGGATACCTGCCTACTGCGTTTTGCCTCACAATAAATGGATGCTGTATGTAAACAAGATGAAAAAAGAGGCCACGTAACTAAAGTAGCTGCTATATAAAGCGCCGTTATTGTTGGCTATCGGAGGAAGCCATTATCAGAGGAAGTTGCTATAATTAAAACAGAACAATTCACTGTTCAAATTAATGATTCGAACTAAAAAAAATATATGAATATTAATGTTCGTGGTGAAAAACTCGGTGTTGATGTTGACATGTCAGTCCGAAGTTTTGAACCAACCCAAATAAACCCGACCCTGGGCACGAAAAGTCATTTGATGATTTTCCCCTCACAAAAAAAAAACCATATCTTCAAAATCCTAAAGATCCTACTCATAAAAATCAATTAAGTTTTGCAGGTCACCCCATGTCATTGGTCGGTAAACGAGCAGACGGATTACCTGATGGTCAGCAATCAGCGCCGTCCATGGATACTCGAAATACTAAAGGAATTACGAATGCGTTGCCGGCCTCTGGTGGGTTATTAGGGATTAAAGGATAAGAGATTTAAGGATTGAGGATGAGGAAGAGGAAAGATTTGGCCTCCGGTCACCTCACTCACACGGCGAAACACACCGTAAGTGTTACTTTACGCCAGTTTTCTGTAAGGCAGTAGTATCACTCCGGTCGAGAAGTTGAATATAAAACCGTGAAATTAATTGTCCTTTTACTAGTTTTTTCTATTTATGTAGGTTTCATTATCCTATTGCTTTTCATAGTAGGTATTTCGGGGTACTGATTTGAATTGATTAAGTGGTGCTGTCTACGATTCTATTCTCGATACGGACCTCAGCTTAAGTTAGGTACACTTTGTTTAAAAATTGTACCTAGGTACATTCATGAGGAAATAAATGCAAGTAAAAAAAAAACTTCTGCATAATCTACGTAGTTCGATATCAAATTCTGAAAATATCTTCCTGTTCGAACGTGACCTTATTTGGATTCCATGTTTTGTGTATTACATCTATACTCATATTATAAAGAGGTACAATTTTTAAGTTTGTATGTAGGGGGTAATCTTTGGAACCGTTGGTCAGATTGCCAAAATTCTTTCACTGTTGGATAGCTACGATGTTCCTGAGTGCTATATAGGCTATCGAACATAACGCTACGACTAAATGGAGCCGAGCAGCGGGTGAATCCGCGAGAGAGCTAGTCCATTAATAAAATTAAAACTCTAAGAAATAACTAAACCTTTCAATGCTGGTAATTCGAGACACAATAGTTAGACAATTGGTACTTGATAAATTAATGATTTAAACTACCTACTGAAATGTTGTGTGGGAGAACCAATCATAAATAGGCAATGGCCTCACAGAAAACCGGTGTGAAACGCCGCGTTGTGTTACTCCGTGTGAGTGAGGTTATCGGAAGTTAAATCAAATTCCTAACATCCCCCAAAAGCCAGCAACGCACTTATAACTCATAAACTGTGGCAGGTGTCCATGGGCGGCGCTAATTGCTTACCATCAGGTAAACTTTTTCTCGTTTTCCAAACTAACCTGAAAGACAAAAAGAATTGAAAAACTTATTATAAATAAAATAGACAAACCGTTGTTAGCTCCTGAAATATCTGTCACGGTTGGCATAAAAACGAAATCACTCTCATACAAAAAAATATTAAAAAAGAGCACAAATACAATTTTATTATTATTTTTATCGACACACACACACAAAAGCTTGTGAACCGCTCGACGAATCGAAGCCAACTGACGAAAATCCATAACAATATTTAAATTTCGAAATGGGGTTGGTTAGGAATGTCGTGATTGGACGATTGTAGGGAGAGATCGACCAATAGGAATGAGTAGGTGTGGCATGGATTTTCTTTTATTATTGGTGGTAATAATAATTATACTGCGCAGTTGGTTTTTTACGCAATGTAATTATTTGTTATCTAAGGCTTTAGTGTATACTATCTTGAGGGCTCGCCAGTATGAATGTCGAAATACTACAATTTAGAATCAATTCGGTATTCAAAAATTCTAATATATTTTTTTTTATTTATTTATTTATTTATCATCCTTAACACTAACATTACAGACTAATCCAATGCGTTAGTGAGGCATTTAACTAAATAAAACATTATAAAAATACAATTAAAAACATAAAAACATAAACAGACACACACCCTTCTTGGTTAATAAAAAAGACACAATTAACTGGTTGTACCCGACCATCCCCAGCACAAACAATGTGGGGTACATTAGGGGGTACAGAGGATACACCCCATACAGCCTCCAGTACAAGTGGCGCGTGAATTTGTTCTGTACGCGCTCCAGCATGACAGAGTACTTGGCTTCGTATGGAGCCCATATGACAGCACCACACTCCAAGTGACTCCTAACTAATGCGTCGTATAATACCCTCACTGTTGTTATATTCGTAAAGCCCTGCGACTGCCTAAGTACAAAGCCTAGGTTTCTGTACGCCTTCTTACATATATTAATAATATGCTCGCGAAACGTGAGCTCTGGGGTGAGTTGAATCCCCAGATCACGCACCTGTGTCACTCGCGTCATGGGTGTTGCCTCTGCTTTGTACTCATAGCAGACAGGGCTTCGCGAACGTGTAAAGGATATTACCGAGCATTTGGATACATTGAAGTATAGTTTATTGTCATGACTCCACTTCACCACTCTGTCAATGTCATCCTGGAGTCGTGCACAGTCCGACTCGTCCCTTACCTCGAGCAGCAACTTGAGGTCATCTGCGAACAATAAACATGTATCATGTCTGACTACTTCAGGCAAGCTGTTTATCATGATGATAAATTCAAGAGGTCCCAAGTTGCTGCCTTGGCTTACTCCAGACCTTGTGTAGTACGGCTCCGATACGACGCCATTGTAGTCAACATACTGCTGACGGTCTTTCATGTAGCTGACAAAGAACTGCAACAGTTGTGGTGTACAGCCAACATCAGCCAGCTTCCTCAATAAGACATCATTGTCCACGGTGTCAAAAGCCTTTTTGAAGTCAAAATAAGCCGCATCCACCTGCACCCCCGCGTCGACTGCCGGTATAACCTGTGCCATGAAGTTAAGCAGGTTGGTGGCAGTGCTGCGCCCCGGCCGGAAACCATGCTGTGCATCCGAAAGTAGTGCTCGGACCTGCCCCTGTATAGAAGTTTGAATTGCGGACTCAAAAACTTTAGCTGGTGTCGACAGCACAGCCACTGGTCTGTAACCGCTGACATCTGGACCTGACTTACCTTTAGGTACTGGAACGACGCGTGTGATTTTCCATCGTGTCGGGAATGTGGACTTTTGCAAACAGATGTTAAATATGTGATGCAGCGGACGTGCTAGAACTCTGGCGCAGTCCCGGAAAAGAAACGGTGGTATACCGTCCGGGCCAGATGAGCGTTTTGGCTTCAGATTTTGCAGCGCCATCTGTACATCGCCAAGAGATAAAGTGTTTAAATGCACCCGTGCACTGCTGACACTGGCTTCCGCCGCCGCCGCCTGTGCATCTAGTATCGGCGGTACCTGGCTATATACGGACTTAAAAAAGTCAGCAAATTCTCCAGCGCACTGATCATCCGTCAAGTCTCGACCATTTTTTATTATATTTTGGCGATTAACTCTACTTCGTTTGGACCTAACATATTGCCAGAATGCTTTGGGATCCTTCGCGAATTGGTTTTGAATTTTATATTTGTGATCTCTGTATGCTATTTCTATTGATTTTTTAATTTGAGCCCTAATCTTAGCGTATTTGTTATAATCGCAATCAAGTTTTGTCTGTTTAAACTTTTTGTGTAGATCTGCTTTACTTTTAATATCGCGAATTATTTCCCCTGTGTACCATTCGGGATAAACGTAACGCGAGTTTCCCCGGGCAAAGGCCTTCCTGGGTACACATAGATCTAAAATGTGACTAAGCTGGTCATAAAAGACATCCAAAATATCATCTAAATCGTGTGTCTCATACAGTGTACTCCAGTCAGCAGAAGTTAACATAAAGGTATTTTCTGTATTTTCCAGACTGACTGTATTTTCCTGAGATTTTTCTAAGATCGGAGATCGGTACGTTTTAATGGCATTTAAATAATCTGATGGTAAGCAATCACCGTCGCCGATGGTCACCCACAACATCAGAGGAGTTGTATTCCAGTCTTTTTTAAGTTAGGAATTAACGTATTAGGGGATATGGAAATTGGAGATGAAAGGGAGTGCATTGGATCCCTTTTTCTTCCCTTCTCCTCCCGCCCAGGGTAAGGCGAGAGAGAGTGTCAGACTCTTACTGACTAATCCCCCCCCCCCCCCCGCGTTCCTTCCCTTGCTCTGGGCTGAGGCCGCGGTGACTCGTTGCGCTTACCCCGCAACCCCGGCTGAACATCAACTGTATAGGACTACGTCTGTGGTGGTCTATTAGCTCTTTGAGGCCCCCGCGGAACGCTACTCACCGTACACTCGGTCTGGTTCTGGTAGGGTGGCAAGCTGTGCATTGGACACCTGGAAATCTCACTCACACACAACACTAGAATTGTTTCATGGTAGATTTTATCACGGCAAAATAAAATCATCATCAGCCTATAAGTGCCCACTGCTGAGCAAAGGCCTCTTCTCACACGGAGAAGGTTTGAGCATTAATCACCACGCTTGCTCAATGCGGGTTGGCGATTTCAAACTTACAATTAGAAATTATAAGTCCAGGTTTCCTCACGATGTTTACCTTCACCGTATGTCAGTGGTGTCTAAATAATCATAGAAAGTACATATAACTCGGAAAAAGTCACATTGGTACTTGCCAGGTTTCGAACCCACACCCTCATGCATGAGAAGCGGGCTCCTTAACCTCCGGGCCACCACGACATTTTAATGTATTCATTTTATGTAGGTATTCAAAATAAAATGGTAAGGTCATTTCATGACGATTTTCTATAAGGCCGTATAATGGCCGAACCGGCCCATTCGTGTCTAAGCATGGTTCTCCCACACGGATTATTCCGCAGATGGAAAGCTACCAAAATTTATAGATAAATAACCTATTAATTAAATCCAATTATCAGGTGTAATCTGACTCGACACTCGACCTGTTGCCAACCAGAAATATAGATCGTTCTGCAGTAGAATTAAATTCTTTATCTTAACAATCGAAATTATTTTCTATCAACTTAGATCCAGATAGAATTAAGGATCATAACTGTTATAAAATGATTGTATTATCTATTGGCACGTTGCCAAATAAGTATTTTAAATTTTTATAATGTTATTAGCCTAGATTATTGAGTAATTTGTATTTATTATTAGAAAAAATGCCTTTTGTTTATGGCATAAGTCGGCAAACGAGCCGACGGATCACCTGATGGTAAGCAATCGGCGTCGCTCAAGGACTCGCAACACCAAATGAGTTACGAGTGCGTTGCCGGCCTTGGGATAGGGGTTGCAGATATAAGGATTGGCAAGGGATAGGGGAAGGGGAGGGATTGGACCTCCGGTAACCTCACTCACACTGCGAAACACAACGCTGTGGGTTATTTCACGCCGGTGTTCTGTGAGGACGTGGTATCACTCCGGTCGAGCCGACCCATTCGTGCCGAAGCTTGGCTCTCCCACACTTAAACGACTAATAGTAAACGCTAGTACCTAAGTGACATCAAAATGTTTTCTTCCTTTTCTTTATTTTGTTGTCTATGTTACTGGCCAATTATTTTGTTATAGACACTTTTTTATGAACTTCATAGAAGGAAGTTTTTTACACAAATATTTGGAAGTTTTTTACACAATAATAACAAATATTTTAGGGTTGTCTCTATACTTGAATCAATACCAAACAATCTCAATGCCATTTGTTTGCAACCTAATAGAGGTACGAGTGCGTTGCCAGCTTTGGATCGATGGAGGGAAAAAGGATTGGGCATCCCGTAACCTCAGTCACATGGTGAAACAAAGGTGTGGTTGTTTCAAGCCGGTAAGGCCGTGTTATCACTCTGGTCGAGCCAATTCGTGCCGAAGCTTGGCCGTCCTAGACTTTAAATAAGTATTTTATAAACAGAACATTTCACGCAAGAGATGCCTGAACATTGGGCTGATGGTAAGCAATCGGTCGTGTGCCAGGTTTCGAACCCACACCCTCATGCATGAGAAGCGGTCTCCTTAACCTCCGGGCCATCACGACACTAGCCTCGTTTGCCGAACTGTAACTTAAAAAAACATTAAACTTACTTTTTGCAGTATCTAACCAACTGTCCTAGACTTGGAGGAGCCTTGATAAGCCAATACAGATAAAATATCACGATCTAAAAAGGTGTTATTGCCATGTTAACTCAATACTATGAACTGTTAGTGTTTGTTCAGTTTTTTTTTTATTTATTTTGCTCACATGCCAATTTTATCGTTAGTTAAGAAACTTTACGAGAAAGATTTTTTAATAGCTCTAGTACTAAATACTCTTCTTTGATTTCTTTATTAATTTACATTTTCAAGTCCAGTTCAATGCACTCTATCAAAAAATTGGTACCTTCCAACAAAGATTACGAATCCGCCAAAACAATTGACACACAAACCGAAAGCGTGAACGCCTCGTGTTTGACAAAAAAAAACATTATCACTAGTCGCTCTGCCTATTTATAATCTGTTTTATTCGATCATTTGAATGCGCGCTTACGATAAACCATAAACACGTTAGTATCGTACCACTCATTGGCGGGAAACGTCGCGGACGCCCGCCATTTTTATTTTATTTTCATTATTTTCGATGTATTTCGCGCGAAATAAGTTTATTAATATTTTGTAATTTTTGTGTTTGAAGTTTAAACTCTGGTGTATTGGTTGTTAAAATTAAATATTTTACTAAACAGTTTATGACAGTTTGATTTCTTTGATAGTACAAGTGTTTCAAAATACTTATTTTAAATAGTGCGTGTTATTGTGTGTTGGTGTGCGATTAAATTTGAGGAAAAGAAGTGAGTCTTTTGTTTATTAGACGCGTTCAATTTATACAGTTGTGCCAACCTATAAATTGTTTAAGAAAAGTTTTTTTTTTTACTTCTTCTAAAACATTGTTATTGGTTACATTTTATAGTCTGTTGTTTTTGTCGTCATTTTAAAATGTTCCGGTTTCGTTTTACGAATTAATTAGATTTAAATTTGTTTTTTTTTTATTAATAAATTTATTTAAATTAATATCAATGCCACTTTTCGTTGTAATGTTATAACTCAACAATGCCTTTACCGATTTGGCTGAATTTTGGTATTGAATTGTTCGTGGAAGTCCAGAAAACGTTTGTTACTACTTTAATATCTAGAGAAAATTTATGAAAAATCTTGAAATAATTTAAAATTGACATCAACGCGTGCGGAGCCTCGGGCGACCGCTATTATTCTAATAAGTAAGTAGTTAAAAATATGTTAATTTCCGTAATAACATTGTCTTATTTTGTTAGCGTTTTAATATAAACTACGTACTTAAGTCAGTAATGTCGAACTATCATTTTGTTATTAATTATCGTGATTAGAAAATCATTTATTTGGTCTTTAAGCATAAAACTTACTCGTGCGACGAACCTACATGGTGTTTTGCTATGCTAATGTTATAACAATGAAGATTAGTAGATTTGTTTGGATTAACTACATTATTTTTTTTTTCTAAAGATTTGTTCTTTCCCTCATAAAAAGTGATATAAGAATAGATAGCGGGATCCAAAAGGGTGCAAATACACAACACATTTTTGGAAAATCTGAATTAACTTGTTAGGTACTTACCTACCTATCTTGATTTAGCTCTCTGTATACGATATTTTCTGTGTATATTCTCACACTAATACTTATGGATGTGACTAAAACTAAAGTTCATGTTTATCAGAGATCTCTGTTAAAAGTCTAATCCGTCTTTCAAAACCTACTCTAAGGATAAGGGTAAGTAGTGACACTAAAATTTTTGCGTCACGCGTCCCGTTCTGAGAGTAAGACCTCGTAAGGTCCAACAAGGGTCCAATAAGGCCAATGTCTTACAACTTAGCCGAGGTTACGTTGTAAGCGCAATAATATACCACGGCTCTAGCCTGGAGGGCAGTCAGTGAGGTCTGCCAGTAGAAGGAACGGGATGGAATTTAGTCGGAAACTCCTCGCCGGAGACGCCATTAAATATTTTTATCACTTCAAAATAAAAATGTCAAAACTAGGAATTAGTTCTTATTTATCGTCTTTATCAACGCTAGACCAACTAGGCAGGAAAATAACAATAACAATTATAACATAACAACACATTATTCAATAATATGTAAGTAGGTATGTACATAAACTAGGCTCCTAATTGCTTATTATTAATGGCACAAATAAAGTACTGATAACAGATTAATCAAGTTCAAGCATACTAGTTCAAATTATGTGAAAATTTTAATTTTTTTCTTAAGACCGTAGTTCGAAAAGTATGAGCCTCGGTTAGGTTTCGAAACTAATCGAGGTTTTCTCGAAAATTTTATTCAATAAGCTGTATGTTTGTGGTAGCCGGATCACCTGATGGTAAGCAATCAGCGCCTCACAAGGACTCCCATGAATACGTTACCTAGCTGTATATTTTCAAAATACAATGGTTTGTCTTACAGTAGCTTTAACACAAATACTACTATTCGCCCATCTGCAAGATGGAAACTTAAACTCTTTTTAATGACTTAGCTTTTTGTAAAGAGGCTAAATCATTAATTGGCTTCTCTCGCCCTAGCTGGTGCTAGAGAGAGTGTCAGACTCTTACTGACTAAAAACCCCGCCCCGTTCCTTCTCCTGCTAAAGGCCGAGGCCGCGGTAACTAAGCAGTCGCTTTTGTGGGTACTCAATAAATGAAACAAAAAACTTTATAATAAGGGTGGGAGAGCCATGCTTCGGCACGAATAGGTCGGCTTGACCAGAGTGATACCACGGCCTTACAGAAAACAGGCGTAAAAAACCACAGCATTGTGTTGGGAGTCAGGTTACCGTAGGCCCACTCGTTTCCCTATCCCCAAAAGGTCAGAAACGCACACGTAACTCCTCAGTTGTTGTGTGTGCGTGTCTATGGGCGGTCCTGATTGCTTACCATCAGGTAATCCGTCTGCTCGATTGCCAACTTATGTACTACAATAAAGAAAAACAATATTTAAGAAAACAATTAGAGCAGATTACCTGCGTTCAAATTAGTCGCTAAACAATACCTAATACTTAGTTAATTGAGTTTTAATTACTTCGAAACTGACAAAACAATAATGATCATTATTCTATTGAAGTACTGATAATGGCTTTGAAAGGGATAATAAAAATCACCTTAATATTGTTTACAGATTGTTTAATTTATATTGAGTACTAAGTATTACTATTGTCTTTAATGAATTTAAGGTCAAACAGTGAATTTAGGGTGGAAACTAAATTGATTTGTTCACGTAACTAATTCGAGCCAGATACTCGACTAGTTTCAAGTGACTACAGGGGCTTACATTGATGACCAGCAACGCTACCGATGTTAGCTGCTGTGTTATTCTGTAAGACTTCATTCTAAACTTCGAATCTGAATCCTCTGTGAGTATTAGTACACCAGCGCTACACTTGCGAGTTGAACTAAATTGACAGCAAAATTTTGATACATAAAGTATGAGATGACGTTAAAAGAGGCATTCTAAAATTTAATTTCCCCGTCACTTCAACGCTCACTTCGCACTCGAACATGATTCAAAATCAAACAAATTTTATAGAATCGACGTGCAGGTTTTCTCACGATGTTTACTTTCACCATATTTCAGTGGTGTCTAAATAATAAAATTAATAAAATAATAAAATTAATAACAAAATGTATCCACACACAGAGGTCCACAGAGTATGACATTATGCGCGAGGTCGCGCGTATCTGTCGGTCGTGTAAAACCTGGGTTCTCTTAAAGACATTATGGATAATTGTGTGGCAATAACAAAAATATGCCTACTACTGTACATTTCCCATTATATCGATTATGAGGTACCAAAGCAATTAAATAGATATACAGCAGTTACATAAAAGATGTTTAAATAAAAAATGTAAACAATACTTCGGAACATAAACATTGTTAATCTTTGGTCGAATGTGATAACTCAATTTGAGGTCCCGGGTAAGGTTCAATTTTGTGTAAATAAAATGACGTGGAAAATTTCGTTGAATTAGGTGCCGATTTTACGATTCTTCTTGTAGGGTTCACAGTAATTAATTTAAAAAACTAGGAAAATATGTTTATTTTTTTCAAACTAATCTTAGTCAGTAACAAATTGACCATTGACCTTCATTTTTCGCAAATACCTACTACAATTACAATGATATTGCAAAACGCATTTTATAAAGAGCAAGAAACTCTATATTAAATAGAGTTTCTTGCTTATTGCTCTCAAACCGAATTTGAATTTTCGAAGTAGCTATACTGTTATATGGTTTGATTAAAATAAATGCCTTGACTTAGACATTTTTTGTGACGGGAAAATCATCAAGTGTTTTTTCCCGCCTGACCTTGGTTGGCAGTGAGTAGGGCAGGAAGTGTCAGACTCTTACCGACTAAAAACACCCCCGTTCCTTCTCCTGCTCTAGGACGAGGTCGCGGTGCCTCATTGCACTTACCCCACAACCCCGGTTGACTAAGACATTAAACTTGCGATAAAATTGGTTAGTGGTAGGTATTAAAGTCCACGATCTCTTGGTATGCCACTGAAACCAAGGTTCTGCGAACGGCGAAAAAGGGCTACCGGACCAAAACTAGACACGAGCATACGTCGCGCTTTCCACGCTTCCCTAAGACCCATCAGACCACCGCAGGTGGCTCACTAAGGTCGATGTCCAGAGTACTTGTGCACAATACAATAATTTACCGCAGCCCCAGCTCAGACAGCCGGGGTTGCGGGTTAAGCGCAATGAGTAACCGTGGCCTCGGCCGAGCAGGAGAAGGAACGGGGAAGAAAAGGGGAGTTTTTAGTCACTTAGAGTCTGACACTAGACACTCCCTCCTGCCCAACCCTGGGCGGGAGAAGTGATTTGATGATATTACCCTCACAAAAAAAAACCAGCTCGGAGGAGTAAAAGGAATGGAGCGGTTTTTAATAAGTTAAATAAGGGTCCCTATCCGTCCGTCCTGAGCTTAAAAGAAGTGATATTATGAGTTGAGAAACCTTGCAAATGATTCATAGGCATTAGCTATCAGACACCTAGTATCAGGCATTTTGTAATATGGATAAGTATTACACTTATAAGTAGTTATTGTCAGTGCAAAGTTATCGATAACATTATATACAGTTTCGGTTGGGAAATTCTAAGAAATCTATTTTATTCCCATTATTCATTTATTTTCTAAAAAGAAAAGATTTTATTGTTATTTTTTTGAATATAATAGAATTTGAAACTTTGAAAAAAAATGTCAAGTCACTACACAGTATAAAACAAGGTCGCTTTCTCTGTCCCTACTATAGCTCTATGTATGCTTAAATCTTGAAAACTACGTAACAGTTTTTTAACAGATAGACTGATTGAAGAGGAAGTTTGATATGTTTGTATACATGCATTACTTTCATAGTGGAGAAATTTAGTATCAACATTACACCCTATGAAGGCGTGGCGGGTCGCTAGTAAGCTAAAAAAATACATGGATAAAACTGCGGATCACAACTATCTTGCTAATATAATATAGGAATAAGGTTGGATGTTGATTTTGAATCGTGTTCGAGTGCGAAGCGAGCGACGAAGTGACGGGGAAATTAAATTATAGAATGCCACTTTTTACGTCATCTCATACTTTATCCATCAAAATATTGCGGTCAATACGGTAGTTTCCAACTAGTCAAATTCAATACTTTTATCCAAGTGTCAAAAACGATACTTTTCTATGAAATTTGTATGAAAAACTGAGGTATGACGTCATAACAGTTTTGCGTCAAATAGCTTACGTATTTCTGAATAATGAGCTAAAAAATCTAAAACTTAGTG